TTGGACGCCTTCAAAGACTGCGCCGAACAGCCGAGGTCGTTAAGCATCATCATCCTAAGGTGAGGCGGTTTGCAGCATGTCGCATCCAAGTTTATATGCGTTCGTGAACTTGTGGTGGACATGCACGGTTTCGCACTTCTCCGTGTTAAACAGAAGTAGATTTGCTTTTGCCCATTCAAAAGCACGGTCTAAGTCCCGCTGCAGCATAAAGGGAGCTTCCAGTCAGCTGGTTGCCCGCACTATCTTGACGTCATGGGCAAAACGCAGGAAACGTGACTTGATGACAACCTCAAGGTCGTTAATGCAGAACAAGAATAATCGCGCCCCAAACATTGGCCCTTATGAAACACCGCAGTCCACAGTAACTGGAGCAATAAATGAACCGGAACTCGAATCTGAGGGCGCTGCTGAAGGAAGAAGTTTCCGATCCATCAAAGGACAGGGTTCTCAAGCTGTACGTTTGCAACTTTTGGAGAAGCATGCGGGGAGCTGTGCGGTGGAAGGCTTTAGAAAATTTAAGTGGATGACATTAATGCCGGTCCCACTGTCGGCTATCTCGATCCAACTGCCACGGGTAAGCAGTAGATTGGCAGTACATGACCGATGCCGACGGAATCCGTGTTGCTCCGGCGCTATGATGTTAGAGGTTTCGAAGTAACCAGTTATTGCCTTAGCTGTGATCGATTCCAACATCTATAAGAGTACCGGGAGGAGAATCACCGGGCGATAGTTGGCGGGCTCTGAACGAATATCAGGCTTGAAAACCGTGATAACGAAGCTTTGCTTAACCATGTTTGGGACCTGCTGTTCATCCAGGCATCTTTGCAAAAATCTCGTTACTGGCTCAGTTATCCTCGTAGCCGCTACTTGGAGTGGTTTCGGGAGAAGGTTGTCAAATTCGGGTGAACTATGTTTGCGAAACGGTCGCAGCTTTCTCAAATGGGTCGATGAACTCAACGTGACGTGTGTAAATACCTGCATCTAGTAGAATGGAACAGGTATATCACAAATGTTTAAAGCACATCAGAAAATTGGGGCATATTGTAGCCATAGAAAGTTAGCTGCATCCTTGGTGGTTGGAGCACATCCATCTAATGTTATTAGTGGGGGAACGCGATGCGTCGCATTTCGGAGACTGTTCCTATGTCTGTACAGAAGCTTGTTGTTAGCAGTAAACATTTCTGCTAGGCTCTGCTGGTGTACTACTTTGTCCTCACGGACGAGTGTGGTACAGTGATTACGATGCACAGCATAGTCGCTCCAGTTGTCAGGGCTAGGGTTGGCCACGGGACGTCTCTTACAGTCATATGCTTGCAGGTTCTGGTCCGAATGAATGATTATGTTCTTGTGGAACGAGGGGACTGTTGACCGATGCAGTTAGTCAGATCACTGAACTTTCCGGCAAACTCCATCCAAACCCTGAAGTTGCCTTTGAGAACATGACTGTATCGTCCTCGTGGGGCCCTTCCCAATGGGAATGGCAGACGAAAGTCCATGTCTGGGATGGACATTGGGGGCAATAAACAAGTACCAAAATAGCCGACAATTCAGATATGTCGACCAGCTGTCCGGAAAAGCACCAGAAAGCCGTTTCGCCCTATTGGGGCTCATCAGGGTTGCGCATCCTTCGGTCCTCTGCGGAGGATCGAACCCATGACTGCTAGTGGCTCTTGCCAACTAGCCCGCAGCTTATGCAACTGCGCCATGAAGGACGGTGTCTGACTATCGTGAATTGTTAGCTAAATGCAGTCATGGGTTCGATCCTCCGCAGAGGACCGAAGGATGCGCACCACTGATGAGCCCCAATAGGGCGAAACGGCCGTCTGGTGCTTTTCCGGCCAGCTGGTCGACATATCTGAATTGTCGGCTGATTGCGACGAACAAAAGTACTCACCAAAATCCTTCCATTCATAAGTAAGTACCAAAATGCAAGTTTTGTTGCGTCACACTCGCCGACTGCACCAGAGGGAGTCTACGGTCAGCGGTTAAGGATCGGCTGCCGTTTTGCACTGCAGGTCACTACGGTAGTATGACATTACCCCCGCCCTCACTAAGGTGATCGTTTCAGAGAAGGGACATGCCATTTTTCTCAACGTGGGCCTCGGTAATTGCTGAGTACCATCGTTTCCGTAACTAAAATGAAACCCCAGACAGGTAACGCTTGACGTATCCGCAGTTCGAAAGGCTTGTTCAGGTGATCTGTGCAGTAGTGTACATGCAGGAAAGTTTCTCGGTTCTCAGAAATATATCGCATAATGAGCTTTTTTGGTAAAATGTTGTGCCGATCGGTGCAGCTTCGTTCTAGTCGTCCTTTGCCTCTGTGCTCGTTGCACGGGACATCTGGGAATATGCGGATGAAACATGATCCATTCCGGAGGCTAGCCGTCGATAACAGAACAGCTTCTGCTTCCTTGAAGGAAGTCAACACATCTCAGAACAGTCTTGGTTCACTGTAGTGCTGTGAGTTTGGGTGACTACTGAAGCATGTCCAGTTGGAGGGCTTAACTGCAACACATTTGCTGTCACATTTGGAGTTCCACTGGTGCAACTCATCGAGTTGTTTTACTATTAAGAAATTTGACGTCGCTTCTGGAAGAGTTCCATAGATTACCTCTGGCATACTACGTGCAACCTGGGTTGAGGTCAACAATAGAGCTGGTCTGCATACATCCGCTGGAGGCTGTGTAGATAAAGCTTCGTCTTCTTCATTGAATTTGAGCTCAGCAAGAGTGGTCGCAGTCCCAGATTTTCGCGCACCTATGGCAACAACCGAGTTCACTCCATCGCTGCTGTCAACGTTCTTCTGAAAGTTCGAAACCGTTTGTAGGGTTGAGGACGCACTGACTGTACTCTTCTCAATCGGACTGGCGGTGGTTTTTTGGCGTATTTGAGGAACTGGTGGTATTAAGGTTTAGCTACACCCGTGAAGCAATTTTAACGCGCTACCCAGCCTTCTCCACTTTAAATGCACAGCCTAATGGGAATGACTGTGATTTGCTCTCTGTCACGCTTTCTTCAAAGGAATCACTTTGTTGCTCCTCATTTGTTCAACCATTGCCACCAACCTTTAGTATTGCTGCGATAGTTCATGCACAATCTTTACCAGTGAGATGACCGTACATACTGAGCAGAACCATAGGGAAGCTGGTTTACTATTGTGTGGCTCCAGTTTGTTTACTCTGAGCTTGGAACATTTAGGATGAATCTTACCAAGGCAATTAAAACACTGGCTGCCAGTTCGTGCATTTTTACGGCACGGAAGAAGGACACCTACTACTATCGCTTTGGATGCGGTGACTTGGGCTTTTGATCGGTCACCAAAATCCATTGTGTCGATCGATGCTATTCCTTTCAAAGCCCAAGCGCTGATGCTTCATTGTAGTAGCGTGTGCCTTGAATGGTCTGCATGTTTAATGTTGTAACCTTCGTGGAATAAATGTTAACAAGTTGGAGGTGACGGGTATGAGGCTGTGGTCTGTGGTCGGCGAATGAGATGCGAGCATCATATTTTAGGATGGGTATGATAACCGACATGCCCCAGGAACATGCAACTTTTTCTTCACATCAGATCTTCAAGAACAGAGCTAGTAACTGATTGGGTGGAGATACTTAGCCGTTGGTTCTGTTTAAAGTACTTGCATCTTTTATTTAAGCATCTTCCCGTAAGCCCAACGCCACTCGTCGTACGCCATTCAGTCGCTGTTGCTGACGGAGTAGGTTGCGTTTCTTCAAGCTCCGAATTTGGTACCATTTATTTTCGGCAATAAAATGCCAGGCGAATGTGGTTAGCATTGTAAACAGCCAACCAGCCTGTTTGTGCTATTGGGTTGGTGGTTGCATAATTCGCCTTATTGCTGTCCCGTTTTTATCCTCTAAGTTAATGTCACACTTACAATACTGCAGTTAAGCGTGATACATATAGCAAACATTCGTTGATAAATGCTTACTAATTCCAGGCGTTCATGGAAGCAGAGTTATATCAACATGGGCTTTGTCACTTGTATTAAGGTAACAAGGCAAACGGAATCATCATCATCTTCAATACACGGTTAGCTGAAGATGAGAAACACCCCACAGTTAATGTGCCGCAATACAAGAGATAAGAGACTAAAAATTACACAACAAAAAGATTCCTAGCAAGTATTATGATGTTACATATTATATTACGCATTTTGTATGAGATCGGGATTGGAGGAGGTATCTAAAGCAAAGGGAGCTGGGAAAAGAGTTCACAACACAAATGCCTCCTATCCATCTCAGCAAGTGAGTCCAAGCAAACGTGTTCATGGTCCTTAGGACCCCAGCCAGGCAGTCGGGATGCACAAACCGACATCAACTTCGAAGTGAGGGTTTTCATTTCGCGCGATCGTGTCATCGCTTGGCCTCTCCTCCTCTTACAACCCCACCCCCGGGGCGCGCAAGCAAAGCACTTCGCGGGAGTCGGTGTGATGGCGTGCGCAAATGCAAACTGAATTACCTCCTTACCTGATTCCCGAGAATTTTAGGGGCGACAATAATGAGCCTGAAACTCCTACAGCTTATACTTTTTGCCACATTGTAAAACTTGTTGGTTTCAATCACGAACATGTAGTTATCGAAGGACTTAAGGATATAGGTAACCCGTTTGATTCGTTGAACTAGCCAATATTCCTCTGAATACACATGGTATTTAAATGCCGTAAAAATACGGTCTCAAACCGGACCTATAAAGAGGACGAGTTTTTCCTACAGTTAGATGAATTCCAGCTCCTATTTAGCGATTTTGTCGGATGTAGGATGACCGTCAATTTCCAAACACAAAGAGATTGCAAATAATTGCGTTATTTCCACATTTATAGAGTAATTTTCTGAGGTGTTACTTGGGGGCATTACGGAGACTAGCAGTAGCTTAATGTGAGACAACGTTTGGTTTGAAAACCGCTGCCTTTTGTGCTGTTAACCTTTCACGTTCAAAGGAAGCTGAATACCAGATGGAAGGAAAAAATGTACTGGATACTTACCGAGTAACCATCCGTGGATTGTTGCTTCAGCGGGGGCAATAGTTGGCGAATATCCAAACGATGTACGTACGGTGCAGCATACGCTACGCATTCGGTGAGCCTTGGTAGGTATGTATGACCGGGCACGAAACGCTCGATGGTCTCTTCAAGCATGTGCTCGAAAAATGCTCTTTTCCACACCCCCCCATGCCGGGCCAGGTCGATCACAGGCCAGCGACTGTGACAGCAACGTTTCCAATAAAGATCCTCACCGATTTGATGAGCCGTTACTTTCAATGGTGTATCTGTCCCCAATTCGTCCAAAAGTTTTCGTCTTTGCCTCGAATTTAGGTGCGGCAGAATATTTGCTTTATCTGTTAGCAAAAAGCAGGTGCTGCCTGATAAATGGATGAATAGCTCCACGTCTTGTGACAATTCAGACACGTAAGTGTGATATCAGTCAAGTGAGGGGCGATTGCTTAACTTCGCTCAGAATTTAGATCAGCTATTTGGTGAAGCGCACATAAAGCCGCTCTGGAGTAAATGTCTTCAGACAGAAAAGAGTGATGCTTCTGTTATGGGCAAACTTGCGCTTAAAGTGGCGCATGTCAAATCACGCCCAGATTGTGGAAGCAAGATACAAGAAGTCAATTTTTACCGCAGAATGGGCGTGCCGTTGTCTAACGCGAGGCGAAATGACTGAAAATTAAGACGGATCTGAGAACTTCAGGCATTGTTGTTGGGATGTTGACGTCGTTGTTGTTGAGTCTCATTTTGGTGGGCCGCATTGGTTGAGAAAGTGCGAAGAAAGACCCATCAGAGCTGTACTGAATTATATTTTGCTACCGTTAACTTTTAAGTCATGACAGCCAGCCGCTGCCCCCCATGGAGCAATGGCATAAGCAGGTGGTTAATGGCGCACGCGGCTGTTGATTATGGGTTCGGAGTTTGATGAAGCTACAAACTACGCACTATGGTTGAGTCCTGATAGGGAAAGACGACCGTCTAGTGCTTTTCCAAGCCTGTAGAGAACTATCTGGCTTGGTAGCTACTGCGAAAACTCTTAGCTACATACCGTTTTGTCAAAGCACATCGTTGTCCACACTGAGGTTGCACGTCTCAACCATACGATACGGCGCATGTTACAAGATGACACAGGGAATAAGTTCAAAACCGTTGAAACAAATATCATCTGGTACGGCTCTGTAGCTAAGTGATAGAAGCTTCGGCTAATATCCCTAAGGTTTGAGGTTCGACTCATAGTCCTGCAATCTCCACCTTCTTCGCGCAGAGTGCGAAACAGGCCATAGTGTGCAGTGCTGCGGGCAAGCAAAACCTAATGGCTATTCATTTCATCAACAGTTTCACTAACCGAACTAACCTAAGTACGCTGCAGAGTGAACGACGATTTGAATCGAGATTTCTGACATTTGCAGAAAGCCTATTCGGTTGCCGCGATTTAAGAATGTGGCACGGTTTCGAGACTAAAGTGAGCCTGCAGCAAGTCATGCGGAAAACAGAGGAAAGCAGTACGTCACCATGACACGGGTTGCTAACCGAGTGGCGGTAACACGCCTAAGTCACGCGGCAAGCTGACGAGCTCAGTCCTTCATCATGACACGGGTTGCTACGCGGCAGGCGCCAGTGAGTGCGACTACAGCTGGCCAGTGCGGCCCGCTAGCCAGTTTGGAAGCTGTCCAGACAAGTGACGTGAGTCAGCTCAGAAACGTGCAGCCGGAGATGATGGTATGTGATCTACAAAATTACCGCGCTCTGTTCCTAATACACTTTGGTCTCTCAGGTCTCGGTATATTGTTTCTTTCACGGCTGGGTTGAAAGCACAGAAAGTAGGGGTAAGAGTAACGTTACAACTGAGCGCTTCAAAGGCTTTTCACAGAAGGTAACGCTAATTGGCGGGACCATTAATTCTGCACATGCCGTTTCACTGGGACAGCACTTTTACTATACCTGCCGCGAAATTATCAAGTTGAACGGAGCTTTTGACATTTTTTTCTGCTAGACCAGTTACAAGATCACCATTGCTATTCTTTGTCGAATAGCAAAAATGGATTTTGAGGTACGGCGCGTATCATACGAACTCATCAGTGGGCTTCTTGTAACTCAAGAAAACAATAAACTGGTCTTCGGCAATGTACCGTCAGCAGCAAGCAGATTTAGGACCGTTTATTCGTGTGACACTTGTACACCTAATGCTCCTTTTCCAGTTGTACGACTTTGCATTTTTCCTGAAGTTACTCTACAACATTAGCAGTGGAGATGGTAAGGTGATGAAAATGTACCATTTTGAGCATATAAAGGTGATTTTGGCTTGAATTGACTTAAGGCAACACTGAAGTGAACCAGGGCTACGCATTTCGAAACGTCTGTATGTCCTTTCTGGTTAACGGTACTTGTAATGAAAAGCCACCTTATTACATAAAGTGGTATGCAAACATTAACATTTTACCACAAAAGCTGGTGAATGTGGTGCCAATTATGGTCAACCCTTTAGTTGCTTTTTGCTGACTGGAATTCGGCGAATGAATCCTGTCAAGTGACTCCCCGTGAAGCAAAACGTCAAAGTCTGGGCATCGTTCAGAAATCTATTATTCATAGAACACAAGCTCATTTGATATATCGCGCCAATTAGAACTACTCACAAATATAGACCACAGATTAGAGTAGAGTAGAGTAGAGAACACAGATTCTTGCTATTTCATTCTCGGCCAGCTTTCGAGCTTCGTTCATGTCGATCTAAATCGATTGCGTACTATCCTTCAGTTCGCCTCTTGTAGCGATCGACCATCTTTCAGAGTGTTGGCCCGAAATCGTTTAGCTCGATCGATGGCTAAACAACTGGCATCTAAGTATGGCATCTTACCACCACAGCATTTCCAGTCACCAGCATACCAGCCTACAACACATCCGTTCTTTGTTCGTTTTTTAGAAGGGCGCTACAGTGTGTTCTGTATTGCCTTCCACTTCGGGTACGTTTCATGTCTTGGGTGTGGATAGCAGCAAACCTCTGCGGTTTTTGTCGCTGATTCTTTGTCTGTGGTGTCCACCTATGACACGCTCTTGTCAGTTGCACCCGATTCCTTCGAAAGATATTGCCCGCAACCTTGACTTCATAGTTGCTCTCTCCCTTCTGGCATTCGATCACTCCCTTCCTTGGGTATCCTTCGTATTTCGGTACTGGAGGCACCTATGCTTCTTCTCCCTTAGCAAGTATGGCAGGCTTCTCGATCTGCGATCATAGTACTGCTTTTAACATTCTGTTCCATAATCGGTCCTGAAGAACATCGTCCGGCGCTATCCCGGGCTGCAGTATAGTTGTAGCGGTCGATATTAGCGTTCTTGTTCGGCGACTGATTAGACGCTGTGCGGGACTCGCTCCGATACCAGTGGATGGAGTATTCCTTTGATCCAGTAGCATTATGCAGCGATATTCCTGGGTCTCCTTGATTTTTGTAATCGCTTTCTGCGCCTATTACACTGCGGACTCAGCCTAACCGTTTGATTGGCCATGGTATGGACTAGTTAACCGGTGACGAAAATCCCACTTCTTGCTGAATGCATGAAAGTCTGCACTATTAACTTGCGGCCTGTTGTCGGAAATCATCACCTCGGGTATTCCATGCCGAGCCAATTGGCACTGCAGCTTGTTCACCACAGCCTGCATACTAGTCATCGTAAGAGCAGCGATCGCGAAGTAATCATTAAAATAATCCACCACAAGCAAATAGTTCCTACCATCGTGAGAAAATAAGTCTAGTACAACCATCTGCCAGGGTCTGTCAGGAACGTCACGTAGCATCATCGGTTCTTTTGGCTGGTGTACGTCGTGTGCTCTGCGTGCTACGAAATTGGAGACGTAGTCACGTATTTGGCTGGTTATTCCGGGCCAGAACGACAGCGCTCTATCTCTTGCCATGCAGTTGTTGGTTCCTAAATGTGCACAGTGTATCAGCTCCAGCATCGGACGCTGCAGTGCCTTTGGAACCACTATCCTGTTGCCTTTGAATATTAATCCATCCTGAGTAATGAGTTCGTCACGAAAATGGAAAAATGGAGTCAGAGCCTTTAATAACTTTTTCTTGTCTTCGGGCCATTCGTTCATGATCTTGTGCTTCAGTAGCCTACACAATTCGTCCTCCTCAGTGTATCGTTGGAGATGCTGCAAGCGCTCCTCAGTGACGGCGCTCAGCTGTGTTGCATGGACAAAATCTGGGTCTTCTTCCTTTCCTGGCGTGTCTGACAAGTGCGTTCTTGACAGCGTGTCCGCAATGTGCATCTGGGATCTTGACCGGTAGACAATCGCTAGATCATACTTCTGCAGATGAATAAGCATTCTTTGCAGGCGGCGTGGAATAACATGGAGCGGCTTGCTGGCGATCAACACTAGGGGCTTGTGGTCGGTAAAAGCGGTGGATTTGCGGTCAAACGAATAGTCATTGAAACGCTCCACGGCGTAAACCAATGCAAGCATTTCTTTCTCTATTTGCGCGTAATGACGCTCGGTCTCTGTCGGCGTCCGGCTGCGAAAGTAGATACGCTTACCGTTCTGCATGAGTACGGCTCCAATATCATAATGACTGCTGTCACACTGGATCTTGAGCGGGAGTGCTGGGTTATAGTAAGCGAGAACGGAGGCGCTCGTGCTCAATTCCTTTATTTTCTGAAATGCTCTCTCCTGCTCAGCGATCCAATGCCACTTCTCACTCTTATGCGTCAGTTTTCGATTTGGTACCATTATGTCGGCTAATCTGCTAACGGCTTTCACGTCAGTAGGGGGAGGCATCTGTTTGATGGCCCTGACTTTCTCTGGGTCTGATTTCAATCCTTCGGAGCTAAGCACGTGCCCATGAAACACCACTTCCGTCCTACGCAACTCGAACTTCTGTCGTTTCAGTGTGAGGTTCCTTTCAAAACAGCGCTGCAAAAATCGGTGAATGTTCTGGTCGTGCTCCTCTCGTGTGGCGCCAAAAACCAAAACGTCGTCTGCTACCCAGAACGTTCCTGGTAAATCGTCTAAAGCCTGCAGCAGTCGTTTCTGGAATATCTCGCTAGACACCTACAGTCCAAAGATTAGAAGAACCCAGCGGAAACGTCCGAAAGGTGTCCCAAACGTGGTAAGGTAGCTTGACTCTTCGTCAAGTAATACATATCACAACGCCGAAGCAAAGCCCAATTTGTGAATATTCTAGCTCTAAATAGCACCGGAAGTAGGTAGTCTAGTGTCGGTAGCGTATAATGCTCCCTCCTGAGCGCGGCGTTAAGTGGTTTTGGATCAATGCACACGCGCAGTTCTCCAGATTTCTTCGTGACAACCGCCACCTGGCTACCCCAATCTGTCGGCTCCTCAACTTTGGCT